GACTGGAAAAAGGGTGGCTGGGGTGGAGGACCAGTCCTCCTTAACAAGTTCCAAACTTTTGCTGCTGCTGCAAGCCTGGGTTTCTTACACAAGCATTGGAAGCCCAGTACTCCTTCCCCATCCATCTTCTCGCTCCAGGCACCGATTTCTCCAGCGCTCCATGTGTGCACCCCCCCCCCCAAAATTTTAAAGAGTTAGAGCTGCGGGGAGGCAAGGCACACTCGTCTGTTTCCCTGTACAACCGGCCAGGGGCAGGATTCTACTAGTTCTGACTGGTTTTATAGAACCCCTGGTTAACTTTCTAAGCAGTTTGGAGAACCGGTAGTTAGAAGAAATCTCCTTTTGTTTTTTCCCACCCTTATTACATTCTTGGCAGTATGTCTAAACTTACTGTCTCCAAAGGAGGGTTTTTTTTTTCCTTGGTACTTTCTTAAAGGGGAAGGGTTGTTTTAAGCTTTTTACACTGCTGTTGGGAGGAAATACTCTTCTGGAAATACTTCTTCTTGGCTAGCTAGAAAGATTGACATTCAAATGTGAGTTTACATACCCTTTCTGAGTTTTGGTCTAAAACTGGTTTTGGATGAAATTTAATTCTGTGTTTGGTGACGTTTAATCTTGTGTTTATTTATAGGATAGTTTTCCCTACTCAGCTTTGTTTGGAAGGAAAAAGATTAATCTCTGTTTCTGAAAAGAAACTGGTTTGAGAAATCTGACTAGTTCCTGTATTTACTTGTTCTGGTAATTGGTTTAACAAGCAACAGCTACTGTTGTGATTTAATTATTTGTATTGTGCTTGAATTTTTTCCTGCCTCATGGTTTCTTTTTCCATCTGGGGAGGGGGTCTTCCTTCACCACCTTAGTGGTATCTGGAACTGTCCTTTTGGGGTGTACTTCCAAGAGGCAGGATGTAAGCTTGGCAGTGATTTTTTTAATGCCTTTCTGGAGAGCATGTGATGTTTCCTTAAATCTGGATGATTTTCTCAGGATATCTTGTGAGATGAGTAAGACCAGCTGGTATCTAAGATTGCTTTTCCTGGCTGTGCTCTTTCAGGAGAGCTTAAATGACCTCTTTGCTAAAGGGTTTCACTTTATGAGCAAGAGTTGGGTGCTGATAGTTATCACTGCATTTTAATTATTTTAATTCCTCAAGGTGCTCTGGCACCTTGCCTGATTTGTAACTCTGGCTTGCAGGTATTTTTAATCTAATGATTGGTGTTTAGGGAAGCTTTTTGCAAACAAAGAAGATTTTTGTATTTTTGTACAGGTAATCCTTGACTTACAACAGTTCATTTAGTGACCATTCAAATGGTCATTACAATGGCACTGAAAAAGTGACTTATGACTATTTTTCACACTTATGAGCGTTGCAGCATCCCCTGTCCTGAGAGGCCAGGGGAGAAGTGCCCCTTGATGTGAGTGACATCAAGTTGGCCATGCCCACCCAGTCACATGACCACCAAGCCACACCCACCAACTAAGCCATGCCCACAGAACCAGTTGTTAAAAAATTTGAATCCCACCCCTGCAACTGGCCTTGGAAAATCCTGCCCTCACAGTCGCAGGCCAGTAGCCAGAGCCGGGCTTGGGGTAGCAGCAACGGTTCGGAGCTTGTTAAGGAGGACTGCTCCACCCCAGCCATGCATTTTCCTGTCCAGGCTGCTTAGATTGAAAAGTGTGCAATATGCTATGGCTTCTGAGATCCCCTGAACAAGCGCTTGAAGAAAGGGAGTCCGATTGTGAGGGCAGGTTTTTCCAAGGTCAGTCATAGAGGGAAACAGATTTATTTATTTATTTATTTGATTTGTCAATCGCTTACAAGATAATAGGTATAAGTATAAACATAGTTATGAATACATGAAATGAGTACATATAAGAAAAATAAAGAAACAATAGGACAGGAATGGTAGGCACATTAGTACGCTTATGCACACCCCCTACAGACCTCTTAGGAAAGGAGTGAGGTCAATAGTAGACAGTCTAAGGTTAAAGTTTTTGGGGTTTGGGGAAGAAACCACAGAGTCAGGTAGAATATTCCAGACATTGACCACTCTGTTGCTGAAGTCGTATTTCCTGGAATCAAGTTTGGTGCGATTAACCTTGAGTTTGAATCTATTGTTTGCTCTTGTGTTGTTATGGTTGAAGCTGAAGTATTCACTGATAGGTAGGACATTGCAATGTATGATTTTATATACTTTACTTAGATCGAATTGAAGGTGGCGTAGTTTGAGGTTTTCTAGGTCTAGAATTTCAAGTCTAGTGGCATAAGGTATTCTGCAACAAGTAGAGGAGTGGAGAACTCTTCTTGTGAAATATTTCTGGATTTTCTCAACTGTGTTAATATCAGAAACATACTGTGGGTTCCAGACTGATGAGCTGTATTCGAGTATTGGTCTAGCAAATGTTTTGTATGCTCTAGTTGGTAGTGTAATATTACCAGAGAAAAAGCTATGTAAGATTAGGTTAACAACTCTTAATGCCTTTTTGGCTATGTAGTTACAGTGGGCTCTAGCACTTAGATCATTAGAGATGAGTATTCCAAGGTCCTATACAGAGCTTGGATCATCAACATGGTCTTGACTATTCAACCTGTATTTTATTTTCTGATTTTTTTTTGCCAATATGTAAGACAGAGCATTTATTTGTTGAGATTTGAAGTTGCCATTTGTTTGACCGTTCTGATACATAGTTGAGGTCTTTTTGAAGGGTAGCAGTATTGTCTGTGGTGTTGAATAGGTTTACATTAACAGCAAAGAGAATGCAGTTGCTCTTAATATGATCACAGAGGTCATTTATGTAGAGTATGAAGAGAGTTGGGCCTAGAACACTGCCTTGGGGGACACCACTGTTGACAGGTACAGAATTTGACAGGATGCTCTCAATTTTGACTATTTGTTGTCTGTTTGACAGGAATGCTTCTATCCAGTTATGCAGGTGTCCAGAGAATACCATAAGATTTTAGTTTGAGAAGTAGTTTGTCGTGTACCATTGAATCAAAGGCTTTACCGAAGTCTATGTAGATTGCATCTATTGCTTTGCCCTGATCGAGTTGTGTAGTCCATATGCTTTTGCAGTTTAAGAGTTGTAGATTACACGATAGTTTTTTCCTGAAACCAAATTGTTTATTAGAGAGTAGGTTGTTTGTCTCTAAGTGGAGGATAATGGATTGGTTAATAATTGATTCCATGACTTTACAGGTGATGCAGCAGAAGGAGATTGGTCTGTAATTTTCAACTAGGCTGGGGTCTCCCTTTGTGAAGATGGGGATGACCGTGGCTTGTGACCATAAGTTAGGCAAGGAGCTGGTCCTGAAAGATTTTTCAAAGATTATGCTAAGTGGTTCTGCTATGGCAGTGGATAGCTTTTTTAAGAAGTAGACACATATTCCGTCCGGTCCAATAGATAGAGATGGTTTTAGACTGCGTAGTGCTTTCTCAACATTGTCTTCAGTAAAATCGATATGTATTAGATCATTGTAGTTGTCTGTGGTTTGACTAGGAAATACTTGGCATGATCCATTGCTGTTTGCAAATACTGAGTCAAAGAATGTGTTAAAGAGTTTGGCTTTAATGGTGTTGTCATTACAGTCTTTACCATTAGGTCCTTTCAAGGGGTGGGATGGACCTTGAGTCTTTTAGTTTGTTGTTTACAAAATTGTAGAAAGTGCAGATGGAATTGTGCATAGAAGGTTTTCCTCCTGTTTAATGTGATAATTGATGCATTCTGTCTTTATCTGGTGGCATGTATTTTTGTATCAGCTTTTGAAGTTGGCAACATGACCAGATTTGTTTTTCCACCAAAGTGATCTCTTTATGGATTGAAGCTTCCTTATTGTTATGGGTAATCTGTTTTTTCTGGTTTTTGGAGTTGTTATTGGTACATATAGTTCAACGACTCTTTTGACTTCAAGTAAAAATATATTGTAATGTTCTTCAACAGTATTGTATCCAGTGAATAGAAATTGAATGAGTGCACCATGCCTCCTGGGATTCCCTGAATGAACGCTGGAAGAAAATTGGCCAAGCCGGGCTTGGAAGAGCAGCAGACAGACTTCAGGGCAAACAATTTATTCCCCAAGCTCTCAATGCCCGAACCGGCGACTTGGAAGAGAGATTCCGGTGAGTATGTACCGACCGAGTAAGATTTTTTCTTCTCCACCCTCCCCATCCTGACCCAGTGAGGCAGACAGCCCAATGGAAGCAGAAAATGGAGTGTTTCCATCAGTCCTAGCCTCCTTTTGCCAGCATTTGGCAGGCAGGCTCGGCAGGCAGTTGCAATATTTAGATGGGCTTTTATTTTGTCAGCCCAAGGGTGGGGCGGGGGAAGGATCTCAGAATGAGATATAGGAAATCTGTCTATACAGCATTTTTTGCTTGCCAGTGGGCAATGAGGTGACAATGGCAGGCAAGCGCACTGGGCCTTGTGGACTTGGGGAAGGTATGCAAGCCGGCTGGGCCTTTGGGACAATGGGGAAGGCAGCAGGGAAGGCATGCAAGCTGGCTAGGCCTTGTGGACAGCAGGGAAGACAGTGGGGAAGGCAGGCAAGCTTGCTGGGCCTCAGGGACAATGGGGAAGGCGGTAGGGAAAGCCAGCAAGCTTGCTGGGAGACGTGGGAGGCAGCTAGCCCAAGAGTCGGGCCTTGCTGCTAGCTGACTCACACAGGCTAATCTGGGCAGTCAGCTGGGTCTCCCAGGGAGCACTGTGTGAGTACAAAAGACAGGCAAGCTTGCTGGGCCATGTGGGTGGCATCTAGCCTGGGATCAGGGCCTTGCTGCTAGAACCCACTCACCCAGGCAGATTAGGGCAGCTCAGCTAGCCACGCTGAAAGTGTTGCGTGAGATTCAGTTGTGCAGAAGGCAGGCAAGCTGGCTGGGCCACATGGGAGGAAGCTAGGCCGGGATTCACCAGGCTGCCAAGCAGCTCAGCTGGGCCATGTGGAGAGTGCCACATGGGATGCAGCCAAAGGCAGGCAAGCTGGTTGGCCCTCAGAGACCATGTGGTCGAGGCAAGGAAGGGAGCCAGACAGAGAGAGCTATGCCAGGTGAGTGGATGAGGAGTGTGTAAGTGGGGTGGGGCCAGCCAGTTGTGGAATTTGACAGTACTCTGAAATGCACAAAATTGTAACTACCGTTTCACCCAAACCAGTCCGAACCAGCTGAATCCCACCACTGATGCCACTCCACAGCATTTTAACCACACTCTCTGTAAAGTTTAGTGTCATACTGCCCCCAACAATCTGGGTCTTCATTTTTTCTACCTTGGAAGGATGGAGTCAACCTTGAGCCCCATCAGGATTGAACTCCAGACCATGGACCAGAACCTACCTTCAGGTCAACATATTTATACTTTCCACATTGAGATGTTCTGGGGCTACGAGAATTCCTTCACAAGTCTAACCTCCCCTTAGCTACCCTTCATTATTGTTTAAGAACTCCTTTCCCCTGTACCCACTTTCTTTGTGCTGCCCCAGTGCCATACCTGCTCAAAGAGGATAATTATACAGGAGGCAATTCCCAAATTAGAATAGACAATAATATAGACGGGGAAGAAGCCCAGCACTGCAGCGTGGCAGAGTAGCAGCACCACCACCAAGGTGACCGTCCAGAGATTGGGGAACCTGGTCATCTTCAAGCAGCCTGACCATATTTGCAGGGCCTGGTAGGGCACAGATAAGGTGTAGAGGAACATGCAGAGCCAGGCAAAGAGTGCTGTGGGCAGATGTCGAAAGCCAGCGATAAAGACCTCGAAATCCAAAACAAGACTGTGAAAGACAAAGAAGAAAAAGAGCTCTAAGGATGCTGCCCAAAAGATAAGCATGTTTCAAATTAAATAAGCACTTTCTCTGGGGCATCCCCAATATTCAGTGGCATAACTGTTGAAAAGTGAAGGGGATGGGTTCTGCTATTTTGAGAAGAACCCATGAAGGTTCTGTGAATTCTTCAAAATCCACAGAACAGAGTTAGAATGATGAAAAATCCACCTCCAACTGAAAAAATTGTGAACGGTCCCCCTCATTTTGTTCCCTAATCTTGTTTTGTTTCATAATTCTTGCTGCATAACAATTCATTTCTAACAATGCTTCAGCTTCAACAGAATTGCAGATGATTTCCAGGATTTGACTATCTTGGACATTTCTTTCTCCTTCTTTTTTTTTGAGGAATTATTTAATTTGTAAACTTGCTCAATCAAAAAATAGCTCACGGTAGCATACAACATTAAAAACAGATCAACACTACAATGAGCAGAATGGGCAAAAGGCTGCAATAATAGCAGAAGCAGATTTTTCATAAGTAGATGGAGACTGGCTCAAAACTGACTTCATGTTTTCCCATGAACAAAGGCAAATATACGTATCCCAGAATAATGTTGGAGGACTCAATTAGGGTCAATCGCTGGGATCTTCCAAATTTCAGGCCTGTGATGGAGCCCATCCTCAAGGAACTTCTCTCTCACCATATTTGTTTGTTTTTCAGGTCTTTCAAGGTGTGTCGCTCTGTTGGACTAAGCATATTGTTTGGTTTGTGTGTGATCAGCAGTGCCAATACTTTTTGCCCGATGGTATGTTTTTCTGGCTCTTGTATCTCAGATCTGTTGACTATAGAGTCTACTGCTGCTATAAATTCTCTTAGGGTGGTGTCACTCTCACGTTCTGTTGAGAGAGAAGTTCCCTGAAGATGGGCTCCAACACGAGTCCGAAAACTCAGAAGACTAAACCTCTGGTCATGGTGACCGACCCTGACTGGATCCTTATATTTTCCTTTCCTATGGCTACTAGATCTGGATTGCAAAAATCCATCTGAGATATAGGTGGCACAGAAAAATATTTGTATACCTCTCTGCCAATATCACATAGTTGTTTGGATTTTTGCATATCCTACCCACTCTGAAAGGATTAGTTTCCTTCTTTTACTGTTTCTTTTTTTTATATTTGTCCATTCCTGCATTAATAGTAAATTTAGCCTGATTTTCTTTGAAGTCAATTGGTCAATTAATCAATTTATTTATAGGTTTTGACCACTGTTCAGGTGGAATGGAATACAGTACAAATACAAACCATGTCAACAAATGGCAGGTGCATACTATGAGACACAATACATACGTTCAGTCATGAATACATGTCCAAAAGATAACAAGATTCATTCAGAAGGAGGGTAGAAGAAGTGAACTGCATTAGTAGGCTGCTAGCATAGAGAAGAGTGTTTGATGCCTAACAAAGGTGGCACCAAGGGAGGCATTCCTCACTTAGGCTTAATCTCTAGGTGGGCATAGGAGGGTCCCAAGTGTTACTGCTCAACAGGAGCCCAAAAACAAGAAGAAGAATAAATTGCATTTTTTTTAGCTACTAGATGAACAGTGACAAGTGGGAGGAGATGCAGCAGAATCGGGCTCCCTGCAGAGGCCCAAAGCCTTGGTAGAGACCCAAGAATGTTAAACTTTGGATGGAATCGAAGTTCAAAGATTAGGTAAATATGCTCTTAGGATTGTTACTGTGTCCCTTAACACAAAACAAATAGCATCATATCCCCAGACTTAGTATACATCAGTGGGAAGACCTTCCACCCTGCCCCCTCTTCTGAATCATACCGTCCTTCCTCGATGGAATCCACAATGATTTGTTTGAGGACAAAGATACAGAGCACAGCCACAAATATGTGATGGATTGTGCGGAAATGTTCCACCTCCAGTAATGTGCTGTAAAAGAGAGACAAGTTGCCAGCAAGTAAGTAACAGATGTTGGGAGAGATGGGCAGCTGGAGATCATTGGACAAGATTTGGGTCCCAAAGATTTTCATCTGGTCTTCTGCGCAAAAACTTGTACAAGGGAAATAACATTCAAGTGGCTGGTGGGAAAATGTTCCATCTCTTATGATATACAGGTAGTTCTCAATATAGGACCACAATTGAGCCCTTGGACCCAGCAGTTAACTTAATCCTGCTGAGACGACAAACAGCCTTATTCTAATATTCTCAGTCCTTATCGGGCTGTTTCCAACTCTTGTTCTTCATCAACAGTGGAATATTAATTATTTTGTCCAAGGCCACCTTTGGAAGCTGAGGCCTTAGAGATCTTTGCATATTGTCCAGGGGTGGGATTTAAAAATTTTAACAACCGGTTCTGTACGCGTGGCTTGGTGGTTATGTTACTGGATGGGGGTGGCCAACTCAATATCACTCACATCAAGGCATGCATCTCCTTGCCTGGCTTCTCATGACTGAGGGATTCTGTAATCATTGTAAGTGTGAAAAATGGTCAGAAGTCACTTTTTTCAGTTCCATTTTAACTTTAAATGGTCACTCCACACAAGCAAAGGAGGGGAAAAAAACTCCAGAGAAGTTCTTGAGACAGGAAGTGTAGTCCTGCCAAGAATGTAATAAAGGTTAACGGAGAGGCAGTTTCTGTAAGCAACACCAGAATGTTTCCTTCCTGCCTTCCTTACAGGATTAGGCCAGTAATTTCTTCTAACAACCGGTTCTCCAGACTGCATAGAATGTTAACAACCAGTTCTAGCGAATAGGTGTGAACTGGTAGAATCCCACCCCTGATATTGTCCCTCTGACTAAGTCTTGTTCATATCATGACCTGGCATACTTACTCAAACAAGGACCGTTGAGCGACAAAGACTTTCTTCTTCACTATCTGACCCTTCTCTCTGCAAGATAAGATAACAAAGCAGGTAATATTTAATAGATCTCTCAAAACTCTTCTCATCTCAGAGAAGGGGGTAAAGGTAAAAGAGTCCCTGAGGATTTTACTCCACAGTCATTGATGACTATAGGAGGAAGTGCTGATTTCTGTCTCAAGTCCAATGAGCCAGCACTGTCTGATGACCATATTTTCCCCATCCCTGTTCTAAAATCAATTGCAAGGAACCTCTTCCACCTGCTTTGCTTCTTTGCTGGGACCATGCTCAGTTGCTGGGGTCTGGAATGAGCTGCTTCTTCCAAGGTCTTGTCTAAGAGATCACTCAGCTGATTATGTACCTGGTCTAGTACCTTTGCCTTCATTACCTACCAACAAAAGAAAGGGAGTTTAATGATGTCCAGGCCTGTCATAAATAGATTCCTAGTATGCATTTAGGTGATGGACACTGTCAGGGAATTGCACAGATGATGTCCAAATGGAGTCAGAGATGGAGACAGCACATAGAGCACACAGAGGAAAAAGGTGGGATAACAGGAAACTTCCCCTTTACCCTGGCAGCAAGTATTCACAACTTAGATTCCCTCATGCAGTGGCTAGCTCTACCCAACCAATTAGCTATAACTGTGTGTTCTTACTCATTGTCCAGTTGCTTCGCTTCTTTGATCTGTGCCAGAAGCTCCCTTGCCCAGAAAGCCTGGTAAATCTCTAGGACCTAATCCTCTATGACAAGGATAGAGACCGTGAGACTGTGGAGCTATAGAATTGACTGTTTTCGTCATTCTTCCCCCCCGCCCACACCCCAAGTTTTTTTATTTCAATCTACACATACACAACAATACATTAACAGTATGGCATCAATATATCTTACATTTTAGTGTAGACAAACTTAATAATACCAATCATATCTCTTAATACATATATTCACATTAAATCAGAATCCTTCATTGCTTATTTTCAGTACTCTATCCTAGTGCCAAACACCATATCAGTTAAACATACCTTGTCATTTCATTTAAAAAAATTGAGGAGGAAATTGAATAAATAAAAAAATTCTCATTTGACAAGCAGTATGGTTCCAGATTTACATCTCAATACAAACATGATGTCAAGCATCCAGAAAGTATCCATGATATCAATCACTCCAAGATGTTATCTCTCCAATTGATTTATTAGAAACAGATCTGCCATGTCAAAAGCAATTTCCTGTTTATCATTCGGGGCATAAATTGCAGTCAAAAGTATCTTTCTATTATTGTCCATTATTTCCACCATTAATATTCTCCCATCTTCATCTGTATAAATCATTTTTGCTGGGATAGCCTCTTTAATATATAAGACCACCCCTCTTTTCTTACATTGAGTCAAAGAGGTAAACAATTTCCCTAATTTTGGTTGTAATAACAATTGTTCATGTTGCTTTTTAATATGTACTTCTTGTAGACAAATTATATCAAACTTTAGTTTCCTTAATTTATGGAAAGTCTTCCTTCTCTTAGCAGCTGAATTCAGTCCATTTATATTCATTGTAATCAGTTTTTTCTCTTCCATGATTATATTTTATATTTAGATTTAACCACTCTCGTGGGTCTTGATTCACGCTGATCTTTAATATCCACTTGTCCACCTACTGCACCTTCTTCTTTTCCAATCTCCATTTGTTCCTCTTGGGATTCAGTTAATGGAACCTCCTTTTCTGCCTCTCCTTCTCTCCCTCCAAAAACTTCTGCGTAGAACAGTTCTGCTTTCTCAATTGAATCAATTCTATGTCTCTGTTCCTGCCACGTAAACATCAATCCTTCTGGGATCAGCCATCTGTAAGTCACCTCCTTTTTCAATAACATTTTGGTCAGGAATCGATATTCTCTTCTCATCTCTCTCACTCTTCTAGGTATTTGTTTTAAAACCAAAATTTCTTTACCTTTGTATTTCAATATCTTCTCTCTTGCCACTTGTAATATTTGTGTCTTCATGGATTTTTTAGTAAATCTAATATGGACTTCTCTGGGCAGATTATTCTCATCGCATATCTTGTAAAAACTCGATATATCTCATCTATTCCATCCATCATCTTCTCTTCTGTTATCTCCAACGCATCCGCCAAGATTCCTACCATTATCGCAGCCAAATCTTGTCCTTTTTCTTCTTCTATATTTTGAAATCTGAGATAGAATTCTGATCTATCCAACTCCCACTTCAACATCCCACTTTTTTCTTATTCAATCACTGTTAGTCTATTATCAATATTTCCAATCTTCTCCTCTCTTCGTTTGCCCCCTTCTTCGACTTTTTGAAGTCTCTCCTCATATTTTGCCATCATCTGTTGAATACTTTCCACATTTTCCTCCATCCTCCCTGTTCTTTGTTCAATGGTATCTATTTTTGTCTTAAGATCTTGAATTCCTTGCATAATCATCTGAAAAGATACTCTTTCTTGTTCTTTTTCTTTATCTTGCTTTAACATTGTCTGGATTGAACGCTGTCCAGATGGTGGGGAGGCAGAAGTAGACATAGAGGCACCCGAAGATATAAGTTTCTTACTCATTTTAAATGGTTCCAGCTCTTCAAGTTCTTTCAAATTTTAATCCAAAAAGAGTAGCCAATTATAATCCAAAATGAAAAGGCCAATAATAAAAAAGAATCAATAATGAGGGAAAAAGAAGAAAAACATGAAAAAGAAAAAGGAAAAGAGAAAAAAAAGAGAAAAAAAGAAAAAATTCTTCAAATTCTTCCTGACCTATTAAAAAATAATCCACAAAAGAGAATAAAAATAAGAATAAAAACCCAGTAATAATAATAATAAACAAGGCCAAAGCCAAAAAGAAGGAAAGGAGAAAAAGAGAGAAAAAACAAAACAAAAAACAAGAAGAATAAATTTCTTCAAATTCCACACCTTAATCCAGCCAAAAAAAAATCTCAATTGAAAAAAGAAAAAAGAAATAGTCCATTGATATACATTAAAAAGAAAAGCAGAATCCAAATAGAAAGGAGAAAAAATAAAGTAAAATAAATCAAAATAAAATAAAAATAAAAAATTCAGAGGCTTCCCTTTGCAAATAAATCAAACTTAAAAATAAAGACCTTACTAAAATAAAAATATAAATTGATGCTGGTGGAGGGGGTGGCGGAACTAAAAAAAAAAGAATTAGAAAAAGAAAATAAGCAACAATACACTGCACTCTATTTAATTGTCCAAGGCTCTAATTATGACTCCCTTCTCTTTCCCACAAGCTTCAAAGCTAAGCCATAAATATCCAGAAAGACACCTGTAATAATATTCTACAAAGCGCTTTCCTCTATCTTATCAGAAGATGTCCTTGAGAAGAAGTACTTCGTCTTTTTCCAGTTCAAGTAAAATGTTTCCAAGCCTCTAGTTGGCAGTGTTACAAAGTTTCTTAGTTCTCACTTTCCCCCCTCCTCTCTGAACAGCATAAAAAAAAAAAGAAAAGCCGGCAAGGAATACACAAACATATAAAGGCAAAAAAGAATAAAAAAATAAACAAAGGGAGCCTCTAGCCTAAAAATGAAAAATCCAAAGGAAGAATAAAACATATAAATATAAAAAGAAACAGTCCAGTTATCCAGTAAGTAACAATGAAGTCCGGAAGCAAAGAAAAAAAAAAAAGCAAATAAATTCTCTCTTTGACGTCTCCCTTAAAAAAAACACCGCTTAGTCAGTTTTGTCAAAAGAAAAAAAAATCACACAGATTTCTTCTAATAATCAGAGTGAACTTTCAAGACTCAAAAAATTAAATAAAAAAAAAAAGTTTCTCACCCAACCGACAGACTCTCTCTCAGACCCGTTCTTTCTGGAGCCGCCCCGACTTCAGCAGCATGGGGGCTGCCTCTCCGCTGCCAGCAAAAAGAGCTTCACCCGGGTCTTCCAGGGATTTTGCGATATCCCCGGAGTCCTCAGGGTACGCTCTTCACGATAGCTGTCCCTACGGGACAGCATAGGTCCATTTGGACCGGCCGGTAACGGAGATATCGGCTGCAATCGAGGAGCTCGATTGCAGACCGTATCATCACAGCGCAAGCTCCTGGACTGGACTATGCTTTAGAATAAATTACTTAAAATATAGTTATCTCACAAAGGCATGATCGAATAAAAGTTTAGTCAAACTTCTTTTTTTAATAGTGATATTATGATTTATAAGTTTGTATTGACAATAAGAGTTATTATATAAGGTAATTGTAATTGTGACTATGAGATGAGTGCACAAAACTGATGAACCAACCGACTCACTGTTTGTATATAAATATGGGGGAGCTGATGTTTTTATGTTTTGTCTGTTTGTTTGTATGTCAAAAAACAATAAAAACTTTTTTATAAAAAAAAAGCAATTTCCCAAGTGAACGTTTTTTCATGCGTTACACAGAATCCACCTTCTCTCCTCCATTCTCTCCTCCCACTTCCACACTTCATAAACCATGAGAATCAATTAACTGCAGCTGGAAATTCTTTTTTTTTTTTGTAAATTTTATTTGAGTTTTCACAAAGAGAAAAAAACTACAAATAAAACATCTTTTTTGAAAGCAGCATAATCCTGGGTTACATTTCTTCGTACAGACACAAATTCAGGTTCATGCTCATTTTTATATTCTATTCCATATCTTATTACTATTTTACATTTTCTACATAGCTTCTCCCCTCTTTTAGTTTTCTCAATTTTATTTTATATATTTAATCTCAATTCAAATCATTATATGTATATTTTTTGTCTGTCCTGTTTCAATTGTCTATTATCTTTTCTCATTAAACAAAATTTCTCCTGTAGTTACTGATTGGAGTATAACGCCTTTATATCTTTTCCCTAAAATTATAACACTCAATATAATACGTAACTTCCATTCGGATTCTGCTTGGTACATTCTTAAACTACACACTGTATTCTTAAAAAAAGAAAAAAATATAAATGTAAAATATAATTAAAACAACAATCCATTCCAATTCAATTCTATCATTAATATTAATATTCATTAAAGTCTTAACATCTTTAACATTACTTTTCAATTAAATATCATACTTCTATGGGAACAATTATAAGCTTTCCATATTTAATCCCCCCCCTTCACTTATAAAACATTAACTAATTAAAATGTTCTCGTTCATTCCTAATTCAATTTTCTCATTTATTTTATTTCACTTATTTTATTCACAAACATTTCACTAAATTACACTATTTTATCCCTCATTTTAATCATACGTTGTTTCCAATTTTCTAAAGTTATTTCTATTACTAATATAACAATACAATCTTATGTACCTTTACAGAATCCCTTTTTCAGTTAGATTTTCACCCATTATCTCTAAATAGATCCTGTTTCTCTATATCTTGTTCCGGTCCTTTGTAACTTCTTTTCCTTTCCTTCTTCCCTCTCTTCTTCTCTCTCCCCTTTTTACCCCCTTGTCTCTCTACCTCTATTTCTCTCTTCTGTATTCCCCTTTTCTGTTGCTTTCCAACTTTATATCCACTTTTCACATTATTTTTCCCTTTTTTGGCTGTTTTTTTAAGTCTTAAATTCTCCATTCTCTTTCCCCCCTTTCCCCTTTCTTCCCCAGATAAAATTACTTGTTCATTAAAAATGGCTCTTCTTTGTCCTAATCTTCTTATTGCACAGTCTTTTCTTGTAGTTTCTTGTAGGTGCAGATCGCCATTTCTAAGAATTGAAAAACGGGGCCAACAGAGCCCTTCCCTTCTTGTGCCTCTTCTTTATATTTTTTTAAATTCCATTTTCAGTTCATCAAAAGGTGATGCCATTGTAGAATTTTTTTAAAACAACCACCCAGTTGTTTTTAGTCATTCAAATATACTTTCCAGAAGTCCCAAAGTCACCAAGCAATCCAAATACACACAAGCTGTTTCTTTTAACACTTTCTTCTTTTTTCACTTTCTCTTCCTGGGGTTACTATTTAGTTGCAAAGTTCCAGTTAAAATGTATCATTTAGAAGTCTTATTGAGATTTAACTTTAGATTCTTTTATATTCCAGGCAGACTCCTCCTTCCAGATCCTGCCCTTATTCTTTTCCTCTCCCTTCCCACTTATAGCAAAAAAAGATATTTTAGTATTCAGAAATCTTTATTGCCCCCTTGGCATTTAATTATATTTCCAGTTTAATTACCTATTTGTGCCAAAGCGGATTTGATTTCTCATTCAGCTCTCTTCTCTGTCAACATAAGAAAGGAGAGTGAAAAAACACTTTCCCTTTTCACTTTCATTTGCTGTTTCCGAGTCTTCTTTGGGAGCAATGTATCTTTTATAAAATTTGAATTCCAGGATACCTTAGTTATTGCTTCTTATCCCGGTCAGCCAAAACTTTCACTTCTTAGCTTCCTCCTGCACTTTCTTTTCCAGCTGAGTGCTTCTTTGTGGCGGCCATATCTGACCACCGCTCTAACCGCCTTCGGGAAAGGGAATTTGGCCAGCTGGGGAGGAGAGATGTGGCTCCCCTCGACCCTGCTGGCTGCTCCCCTGTCTTCACCACCTCTACAGGGTGGCTTAACCGCACACGATCGCGGATTCCTGCTTGCCGCCGAAGCCCTGCAAACCATGCTTCTTCCTTGTTAAACTCCTCCCCCACTGATTTACTTTGTTCTTCAACAAGCTTCTAATTTCTGTAATGCGTAAATTACACATTTCAAATTTAATTTTCATCATTTCCCTTATATCTTGCAAGTCCAATCTTATTTCAACAAATAATTCCTCCATTATATCTTCTCCTTTTTTCCTTTTCTTTCCTCTTCCTTAATAGATGTATTCAGTCCCAAAGTCCAGTATATTATTTCAGCCAGTGTCTTTTAAGTTTATTTTCAACAATTAATGTCCTTAAGTCTTTGTTCCAGATTTTCAAGTAGGCCCTTTCCCAGCTGTTTCCCACAATCACCAGATGGTTCTATGTCAATATTTTCAAATATCTTCCCCTTTATAGTATTCTAATGTCACTTTCCAAGGTTTTTATTTTTTGTAATGGTTTCTTTTACTTTCTTTTAAATTCCAAAGTCCAATTTCTTAGAAAGACCAAACACTTTTTTAAAAAAGGTCACTGAAGTTTTTCCTGTACCATCAGGTGACACTCTTGAGTCTTTTCCACAATTCACTCCTTCCTTAACTTCAACTTTCTTTGTTAAATATAGTACTTTTATTAAATTCACTAATTTCAATCATTAGCTATTATTTCTTTTCATTTCAACACACTCATTTTCAGCATTTAGTCATGCCCTTTAAGTACCAATAATCCAATAGTTGTCCAGTTTAATTTCTAAACCTTTATTGTGTTCAAATATTTTCCTTTATGTTTTCTCCTCCAAGTTAATCCAGTACAATAATTGAGGCCAATTTTATAAAATTCAATTTCCTTCTCACTTTCTCTGGTTGCAGCTTCAACACACTTTCCTCCAATATAGTTCTTTATTTTTTAGTACTGGGATGCCTCACAATCTATGTATTTTTCCTGGTTCACACTCCACTTGCTGCTTCTCTGTTCCAGGACAGTCTTAGTTTCCCGGGCTGTTCTCCATCTTCGTGGTGGCCATTTTAGGACCAACACTAGAGTTTGCTTTTGGAAGGGGTTTTTCCTGTCAGGGAGGGGAGTTGCAGCTCCCCTCAACCCTCCAGGTGATTTCCCCCTTGCTTCACCACCTCTCCAGGGTGGTTCTGGTCTTGATTGAGACCCTCCAGCAAGTTAGCTCGAAGTGAAACTGCGCACAATCGCGGATTCCACTCCAACTCCAGCAATGAGCAAACCGGAAGATAGAAGGTCCCTTGCCCGGAAGGCCTAGTAAATCTCCAGGACTTAATCCTCTCTGACAAGAATAGAGATCATGTAGCCCTGCAAACACAGAATTGACTATTTTCATCATTCTTGATAATTCATCATTTAGGGACAATATTTCTTTCTCTAGTGCTAACTCCTTCCTGCTTTTATTATTACCTATTACAATATCTATTATTACCTCCAGGTGTCTCTTCCATTGGATGTGGGCAGTGATTTTCTCCAGGTGTTCAGCTTCTCCTAGAGAGTTAAAAACAGCTTCACTTTAAAAGCATGATTTCACATTGGGCGAATGGAGGAAGTCAGTTCATTGCTTAGATTAGACAGAAATTTTCCCATTGTACAGAGTTTTTTGTTCTAAATTACTACTTCAAATTTCAAGCATTCGTTTCTCCACTCTTCACATTCTCTTTCCTTTGGGGTGGATAAAGCAGGTCCAAAACTATTTCCACCAGAAGTATTACTTCTAAAGTATTGTATATGGCATGTTTTTATTCAGTTTTGTAGCCTTTTTTTAAAAGCAGATTTCCACACTATAGTAACCACTTTTAATCAGCAGATCTGAAAGTCTGTGTTTATCTTACAATTCTAGTTTGCTTAATTATTAAGTCAAACAGCATGAAGCATTATCATATTGTTCTAGTAAATTTGGAGGAATATTGTCAGTACCTGTGACAAACAGTAGAGTTTAGTACCAGTAGTCCTCAACATACAACTGTTCATTTAGTGACTATTTGATGTTACAACAGCACTGAAAAAAAGTTACCTATGACCATTTTTCACATTTATGACCATTGTCGCATTCCCATGGTCACAGGATTATAATTTGGACATTTAGCAGCTGGCAAGTATTAGACAGTTGCTGTGTACTGGGGTCATTAGATCCTCTTTTGTGACCCTCTGAGAAGCAAAGTCAATGGAGAAACCAGATTCACTTAACAACTGTGTTAAGGACTTGTGATGAAAATTTCCCAATGTTTTCTTTGTAACTAGTTAACTAAGATGCTCCTTGTTCCCTTCAACTAAATGCTTGCATCGTTTTGTCTTTGAAAGATGAACGTTAGCACTTTTAGACAAATATTAAAGGCACACCTGCTCTTCATGCATAACGCTTGATCTTTTTTGTCATAATTTTCCATATTATTTCTTACTGATGTGTGCATCAATAATCATCGGATGCTTGCCTCTCTGCCCCACTTCATAAGATTTTATCAGGTCCAAAACCAAGAATGATATGCAGTGCTTCTACCCAGCTGAGTTCTTTATTATTTCAGACCTATAGACAGAATCTTGCCAAACCCTAGACTCTACTATCTGCATCTACAATACACTATTAGGGAGGGGCCTCTTTCTCCCACATATAAGGTCTGGACTGAATTGTCTCCTTACCCCTTTGTGAATACACCCCTTTCCTCCTGAGAATCCAGCTCCTTACTACATTCCATCACATCTGGGAATGATTAAAGATTGCGTCTGCCCTCCTTTCTGTAGGACCCATTGATATAACTTCTCTCTATTTCCCTCTTCCTTTAATGTACATTTGATCATCTCCTGTTCCAGAATCCCTTCCACCCCTACAATTACTTTGTGAATAGGGAGAATACTCTGTATTAAGGAGAATACATAGAACATACACTCTACCTTTAACTACAAGTTCTGCAGTGTTTTAGCAAATGTTCAGAATGGCAGGAGCTTCTTGGGATTGAACTGCACCGCATCTGGGGGACACTACGTATCCTTCTGGTAAAGTAATATAAGGCTTTTTGCTGTGGCTCCCAAAATGCTAATCTCTGTATACTACTACCTAATTCCAAGACCTAATTGAAAATCCTCAGATAATTTATCCACAGCAAGGCTATCCCCCACCCAATTGTGCAACAAAATACATCATCCATGCCCCTTAAATGCCTCCTTACCATTGAGTATTTGTGTTTCCTCTTCCCCCCTGGCCTGCTCCTGGGATCTTCTTTGCCTCATGCCTCCAGTGCTCATTTCCATTGGGTCCATGATGGTTCTGAAAGTAGAGTTTCTTAGGTTAATTTCACACTCTAGCCCAGCAGTCAGATAACTAATTTACCAGGGGAGGAAATAAAGCCTCTGCAGTTGGAACTTGCAGTTCCTTAATGCACCAATGAGGTAACTGATATTAGGTAGTGACCCTTCTACCCTGATTAGCAAGTTATACATTTCCAGCTGCACAGAAAAAAGTTGTAACGAAGCCAGATTTTCAAGATCTTCCATTATTCACATCATTTTATATTCTGAATCAAATTAGTAAATATTTATTTGTTACAGCTGAAACAATTCCATCTGAGAGTTAATGAAAAGGAACTATTTATTTCCCAGGCCCTATGATTTGAGAATATATTAAGGATAGATTTTCTCGGCTGAAGTCAGTTGTTTAGTCACAAGGTCAGAAACTTCTCTAGTAATAATACTGGGGAGAGAGGCAGGGGTGGGCTGCTGGGGGTTCGTGGGGGTTCAGGAGAGCAGCTAGCTAGATTCTGTGCAGTTCAGAGAACCCCCAAATCCCACTCCTGGCTGGCCCCACCCACCCTACCCCTCCCAGGAGTCCCCACATGGCCCATTTTGGATGCAGGTAAGTGCAGGGTGTGTATGGAGGCTCAGGGAGGGTAAAAAACGAGCTTCTAGGAAGTTTGGGAAGGCTGTAAATGGCTCTGTTTCTGGCTTGCAGAGAGCCTCCGGAGACCGGGGAGGCTGTTTTCGTCCTCCCAGAGGCTCGAGGAAAGTTTCTGGAGCCCGGGAAGGGCAAAAGCGCCCTCCCTCACCATAATGCAGGAAGCTGACTAGACCACATCCACACAGCAACTAGGCAGTGTTATGTCCCTGGAACTTGCCAAAGTCCCCACCCAGGTCCGTTCATGCTGCAGGGTCCGGCCAGCCGCTGATCTCTGTGAGCCTGCTCCAGGCAGGGCTAACACGTTCAGTCCTTTATTGTTACATTTTTAAATTTTACAATTTTACAATTTTAAAGCTTTCAAAGGCCACCTGCCTCTAGTGGTAGTTAACGGCAACCTCCCCAGTCTTCTGGGGCTTGATTGGTTCCCCTACCTCGGCCTAGGGTTAACAGGAGTCCATGCTGTCTCAGCTTCTGACACTGACTCCTTATTCACTGACTACTCAGACGTATTCAGCGATGAGTTAGGGTGTTATAATGGTACCCCCATCTCATTTGCAGTTGACCCCCAAGCGGTTCCAGTCCGGCTGAAACCGCATGGAGTCCCATTCGCCATTCGGCCTAAACTGGACGCAGAACTCGATAAATTATTAAAGCAAGGGGTCATTGAGCCGACAGACTTCGCCAAATGGGAGACGCCAATTGTCACACCCCTTAAAAAGGATGGCAGCCTGAGAATTTGTTCAGATTACAAAACAACAATCAACCGCTTTCTACAAGTTAGCGCGTACCCAGTCCCGGTCATTCAACATTTATTGCATACCTTTGAGCCTGGCAACATTTTTGCCAAATTGGACATGTCACAAGCGTATCAACAGTTCCCTGTTGACAACCAAACAGCCGAACTGCAGACCATTGTGACCCACAGGGGTGCATTCCGGTGCAAGCGTCTCCAGTTTGGCGTAAGTGTTGCCCCAGGCATCTTCCAATCCCTCATGGAGCGTATACTACAGGGCCTCCCTGGCGTAGTACCCTACTTCGACGACATATTGGTCTCGGCCAGGGACAGACCCCAACTCTTCCAGAGAGTCAGAGCAGTGTTAGACAGGTTCAGACAGCATGGCCTCAAATTAAAAAGGGAGAAATGTGCCATTGCCACTAGACAGGTGGACTTTCTGGGCTATAGAATTGATGCCTCAGGCATTCACCCCCTAGAATCCAAGGTCAAGGCAATTCATGAGGCACCCATGCCAACCACTAAAGCCGAGCTACAAGCCTTTTTGGGATTATTGAACATTTATGCATCATTTCTACCTCACAAAGCATCAGTAGCAGAGCCTTTACACAGGCTCTTAGATAAAAAAGCACCTTGGCACTGGGGACACAAGGAAGACACCGCTTTTCCCGCAGTCAAATCACTGCTCACATCAGACGCGGTCCTTATTCAATTTGACCCACACCTTCCATTGGTACTAGCCGCGGATGCATCCCCTTTTGGGATTGGAGCCGTATTAAGCCATAGACTACCCAACGGCTCCGAGGCACCAATCGCCTTCTTTTCCAGAACGCTCTCAGCAACAGAGCGTAACTATAGTCAAATCGACAAGGAGGCTTTAGCCGCAGTGGCCGCGGTTAAGAAATTTCATGAATTCCTGTTTGGCCACAACTTCGAGCTAATCACGGACCACAAGCCTCTCCTGGGTCTTCTTTCTGGAGACAAGCAGACTCCCCAAGTGTTGTCTCCCAGAATGACGAGGTGGACCTTGTTCCTGGCGGCGTATTCGTACAAGCTCATCCACCGCACAGGAAAAACATTAAGCCACGCAGACGCACTCAGCCGCTGCCCCCTGCCAGCTCCAGCGGAAGACCCGGCACCGGTCCATGCCATCTTCGATGTCACCGAGATCGACCTTCCTGTCACCGCCCTCGACATCGCCACCAAATCCAAGACGGACAAAACCATCGCCCAGGTACTGGACTGGGTGAGGAGGGGGTGGCCGGGCTCTAACCTCGCAGCCGAATTCACACATTTTAAGACCCGTCAACAGGAACTGTCTAGCATACAGGGCTGCCTGTTGTGGGGCACCCGGGTTGTCATTCCGGCCTCACTGCGCACACCAGTCTTAGAGGCACTACACGAGGGCCACCCGGGCATCGTCCGGATGAAGGCGTTGGCGCGGAGCTACGTCTGGTGGCCTGGCTTGGACGACGACATCGTCAAGTGGGTAAGCTCATGCCAACCCTGTCAGGAATCCAGACCATCCCCTCCAGTCACCACCCCCACAAAGTGGGAGAGCGCCAACGCGCCTTGGTCAAGGCTACACATTGACTTAGCGGGTCCAATACACGGCAAGACCTTCTTGGTGGTTGTGGATTCTTACTCTAAATGGATCGATGTGGCCCAACTATCCACGACCACCACGCAAGCAGTTACCAAGGCTCTAACCCGCCTATTCGTAACACACGGGCTACCAGATACCATAGTTTCGGATAATGGCCCCCAGTTTGCCTCAACAGAATTTAGCCGTTTCGCCACAAAACTTGGCATCCGACACATCTTCACGGCCCCCTTCCATCCTGCCAGCAACGGACTGGCGGAGAGAGCCGTTAGATCCACAAAAGAAGCGTTAGCCAGATTCAGCAAAGAAGATTGGCATCACAGACTCTCCCGCTTCTTGCTAAGCCAACACTCAACCCCTTGCATGGTCACCAACAAATCCCCTGCTGAACTTCTGATGGGTAGACGCCTAAGAACTGTGTTGGATAGGCTCCACCCTCACTATTGCCCAGACACCCCTCTCGCTTCAATGACGGGGGTCAGAGATTTTGTCTTGCAGGAACATGTCTTTGCAAGGAACTATGCCGGAGACCCACTGTGGGTTCCAGGAGTGATAGTAGCCATCACCGGTCCCAGGTCGTACCGAGTCCAGCTGGATGACGGCCGCATCTGGAGAAGACACCTGGACCAGCTAAGGAAGCGACAGGGTACCTTCGCCAGTGCCGGATCGGGGGCTCAGGTCGACCCCCAGGTGCCGCACCAAGCTCTCATTGAAGACCATACCAGAACATCTTCACCACCACCACCCGGACCAGGGGAGCAGGCAGTAGACCGGGACTGCCCGATGGGTCCGCCACCTGAACCAGCAGACGAGGCCACGACATCACCGACCAGAAGCACTACACCGGTACCTGTGCAAACCTCAGAGCGAGGCTGCACCCCATCACCAACCCCACCGGGTTCCTTGAACTCTGAGACACTTGGTAACTCACTGGAGTTACGACGCTCGGGGCACCAGCACAGACCGCCCGCTTATTTAAATGACTATGCGTGTTCGCATCTGGGGGGAAGGGGTGTTATGTCCCTGGAACTTGCCAAAGTCCCCACCCAGGTCCGTTCATGCTGCAGGGTCCGGCCAGCCGCTGATCGCTGTGAGCCTGCTCCAGGCAGGGCTAACACGTTCAGTCCTTTATTGTTACAATAAAGCCTTGTTGCATCCATGCCCTGGTCTAGCCTCTCATTGCTCAACTACAACAGGCAGAGAACCTTTTGCTAACATTTTTGAAGCCCACCCCTGAAAAGAGGTAGAACTCCAACAGTTGAAATATCAGGCAAATAAGAAAGCTACCTCAGTGGGTAGATGCTGTGCATAACTGGGTTAAGATGCAATAGGAGATGCTGGCTATTCACTGGTACTGAGGAAAGACAGTTTTTTTTCATAATAAATAATAAATTTATAATAAATAAATAATTGCTTGGTGGGGCCACAAGTAATAAATAAGAAAAGAAATAGCACTTAGACTTCCATACTGCTCCAGAGAGCTTTACAGCCTTCTCTAAGCAGTTTACAGAGCCAGCGTATTGCCCCCCAACAATATGGATCCTCATTTTACCTTGGAAGGATGGATGGCTGAGTCAACCTTGAGCCATTGAAGACCAAACTCCTGGCAGTGGGTAGAATGAGCCTGCAATACTGCATTCTAACCACCACTGCACCACCATTGCTCTTATAAGGATTCAAAACACCCTGTGGAAATACCATGAAGAGCATGGATGAAGGTCACTACAAATATGACAATCTTTCAAACCAAAAACATCAAGCACAATGAAGTCAAGTACAATGTTAGAACTGAATACATCATGAGAGTGAAGATTTTAAAGTCCAAACTCAGTAGAAGAAATACACCAAGCCAATTAATACCTGGATAATTTCAGTCATTAAATACAGAGCTGGACCATACACAGCTACAACAGTGGACTGCATTCAAGCAGAACTAAGAGCCCTGAATAGGAAGACCAGACACAATAATAAAAATTGATTCATGCTCTTCTACTTCAAGCATCAGCGAATATGGAATGTTGCAAGTACATCAGGCAGTTAAAGAATAAAAAAGCGCATTGGAAGAGTGTTTGAAGGACAGTGAAAAAGAT